ATAGAGTATATAAATGGATTATGGATTTTTTCTTTTTTTGTAAGTAAGCTTAAGGGCCTGTTCTCTTTCGTTGAAGTTTAGTTCAGTTCAGCTCAATTCAGTCCAGTTTTTAATTTATGTTTAATGATATTGCTAATGATATAAAGCCAAATTTCATTCATTCTTTTAAGCTCTTATTACAACAACAACAACAACAACAACAACAACAATAATAATAATAATAATAATAATAATATTAACAATAATAATAATAATAATAATAATAATAATCAATAAGTAATAAATAATAATAATCATCAATAAATAATAATAACAATAATAATAATAATAATAATCAATAATTAATAATAATATTATTATTATTAATAATAATAATATGTACATTTGCATATACACATATGTATAGTAATAAATAATCAATAAATAATCAAAGATCACTAATCCGTAGTTAAAAATCACTAATTAATAAGTTCAGTTCAGTTTAGTTCAGTTGAGTTCAGTCAATCGGAACATGCCCTAAGATTAAGTTGGTTCTTTAATAGACAACCTAATACATTATTTTCTTTGTTTTTATTAATTTGTAACACATTTTTTAAGTACAAGAGTGGGGAATAGTTCGAGTGTTTAGAGTTTTCTTCCTAATTTCAGAAAATCTTGAGATTGATTTTCACCCCCGCCATCTCTTAAACATGTATTTTAAGAAAGATATTAGATTAGACAAACGGATAAATTAATTCACAAAATTTTACCATTTATAATAAAAAAAGGGATAAGTTGTTTGGTTTAAATTTCACACCTTAATTCTTTCATTCAGCTAGTTTAATCATCTTCTCAAAACGTGATAAAAAGTGTGTTGAAGATATAAAAAAATAAAAAAAAGTATTAAAAAAAAATCATATTCCATAAAATATACGAAGTAGTTTTATTTGTAAGTTTAAACTTTAGATTGAGTCGATTTTTAACATGTACATTAACTTATAATTGAAAAACAAAAAAATGTATACTATGAGAGTATAAGATAATTTGTTTTTTTGACAAAAGGATCTATTTTTCGATGGCTATTTGTTAGTTGCTCAACTTACTACTACGGGTATTGCACAATTTGCACTACGTTACAACTTATGTACATGCATTTTCTGATGATATTTTTCCCCCCTTCATTTCCATTATCAATTTACACTGTTTTTGAGCAGTAAAACCACTGTTTTTAGTGGAGTTGTATTTAATATTCTTCAATGGCATATATGGCCTAGACGATACATGTCAAAAATAATTATTGTTTGTTGACACAATCACATTACATAGACAGGCTACATTGTATGGCTACTACGCATATAAAAGAAGCAGACGTACCAAAAATTAATTTGAATAATTATCACACTGATAAAAGAAAAGGAGTAACTGAAAAAGTAAAAAAATAATAATGGTCAACACTAAAAAAAGAAATAAATTGGTCAACATTATAAAATGAAAGTTGCTCAATTTTAGATCAATCTAATTTCTAATTTACAATCACTATTAGGCTATATTACATCAACTATCTCGAAAAAAAAAAAAAAAGAGAGAGAGAAAAAAAAATGCTCATAACATCACAATCACTCTAGCTAAGTAGTAGTGTGAATGTTGTCAACTGATTTAATTAGTTATAGTCTAAAATAATAATTGGTATTTGATAAATGTTATTAAAGTTTATTTGCAGCATCAGTCATTTGTTGTTCTTTATAAACACATCAATATGGTCAATTTGTACGTTGAGAGACATTACTCATAATCAAGTTCCTTCAAAAACATTTACTCTATTTATTTATTTATTATAGGGAAAAAATGTACATTTGAGGGACATTACTCATAATCAAGTGAATATATAAAGAGTATTTTCTCTGTTTTTATTTAAGTGTCTCATTTTGATATTTGCACTACTTACATACACTACTTTGATTGATACTCTGTACTTTTATTTTATATACTACGTATAAGTATAAGCATAATCATGTTAATAGTACTTATTGAAATCATATCGCCTCAATATATATTTTTGAATATTAAATTTTAATCATAGTAAATGTTAATAATGAAAGATATTATCGGACAAAATTCAATATTGGCACATATACCATTTAAAATTGAGTGTATTTAGATAAAAAAAAATTATAGAGAGATAGATTAATAGAATAGGTCGAGTGTTGTGAGTCTTGTGACTTGACCTATCAACATTTTTACTCACGCCATTTTTTTCTTTTTTACTACATAGTACAATCTTTTTTAAATGGTGATATACAACACAATGAACACATAGTTTGAATGATCATACATATCAATCAAATCATCAAATCTATGTTTATCCACTTTATAAAAATATACAAACAAAGTAGTTTGATTTTGGATAGAAAGCAAAGAACAGCTGCACACTCTATGGTCAAGTAATTTCTCCCATTTAAGGTAGAAAAGAAAATTATCAAATATGCATCATTGAGTTACTCTTGTGGAAAAGTAAAAATGAATACTCCGCATTAAACAAGTACTCGACCATACACCAATCCATAACATCACAAAAAAATAGGTATACCTCATAATAAATAATCCCATTACACCTCCGATACCTTTTATTTAACTTTAATACGAAATATACTATCTCTCATGACATCCAATCTTCATTAAAATACAATATATAACCAATAATAACTTTATTATCCCATAAAACTCTGCGAATAATACTTGAGCGCTATTTTCTTTATCCTTTTACCTTTATTTGTTTTACTTTTCTTTTTTATCGGTCCCTTTTATTTAGTAGTCTCATAAAAGTAAAAGTATTTCCGCTGAACATAAAAGAATGAAGTATATTATGATATGTGTTATTTCATGTTTGAATGTCTCTCAAAACTCACCTTCAATCTCGGGTTTTGTTTACTTACATTCATCTATTCATTTATAACAACTTCACTATTGTGATTGTGAATTGATAGTGAAGCCTGACCTATTTTCTGCATGAAAACACCTAAATCCAAATAAGCCAAGAATTCAACATCACGTAATATAATCACCTTCAATGTGAGAAAAAAGGTACGTACAAAAAAGAATCATTAAGTTATAGCACTACTGTTTAATTTGCAAGCCAGAATATAAATTGCTGGCTTACTTTGACAAAATATCTATTACACGTGCACGGTCTTTCAGTTATCAACTAATCAAACATTATGGGAATTTAGATTGGGGGATGTATCAACTATTTTCGCACTTATTGACAAAACTATTCCCACATTCAATTCCTCCTATCATTAAGACACTAAACCTAATCCTCTTGGTTCATCTTTAAGCCTCACAAATCGTAATTAATCCTCATTACAACTCTCGATCGGGAATATCGAGGGCTACGTGTAATCAGACCCAATTTGATCACATATTTTGAGTTTTACCAGTTGAATACTTTACCAACTAACAAACAACAATTCTTTAACTCTACTGGACGTTGTTCTTTTGAGCTATTCTACTTACTGACTCAATTTGCTCTGCTGAAATCTACTATGCTATATTAAAATTTGTTTTGCTCTGCTATGATTGCTTAGAAGCTCAAAAAATCTTGACTTTAATTTCTTTTAATTGTTAGCTCAAGTATTATGCTTATTATTATATACTTGTGTATGAAATAGATTCACTTGTGTATATATCAAATCTATTTTTTTTTTTTTATTATTGTATATAGATTTACAAGGAATCGCGAATAAAACAGATTATTTGTTCTCAAATTTAAATATTGGCATCAAAATCGACTTTACAAGCTTAGCTAATTGAATTGATTGCTTGAGAATAACAAATGTCACTTTACATAAATTGAGTATGTCAGCTGTCACGCGGAAACATTCAAACATATAATCAAGAATAATAAATTTTTTTTACAAAAGTTTCACCACCAAAGAATTCCAAAGTGAAATAAAGAAAGTAAGTGAAAAAAAAGGAGGAAAAAAGGTGGAGAAAAGAAAGGAGATGGGCTCTAAAAAACATATCACACGTGCACTAACATAAACAAGCAATTATTAGAGAGAGAAATTTTGGTTTAATAAGGAAGATTAAAGTGTGGACTTTGGAATATAGTTTTAGATTACAAAAAATAATACTTCGTACGTACACTTTTTTTTTTTTTTTTTTTTAATTTTTGATTGATTAATTAGTTGGCAAAATTAAGTGAATTTTGTTAGAGAAGGTGGTGGACAAGTTTGGGACACGCAATAGGATAATCCGGAATTTTTTTTGTAAAAATTGATGGAAAATGGCATCAACATGTAAACGTGTACTTGTTTTTTCAAGTCAAAATTTCGTCTACATTCAACAAGCTCTATTTTTGTGTAGTTTTGTTGTTCAAACTACTACGTAGTATGTAGAATATCATCATCATCATGAAGTTATTATTATTATTATTTGCTACTTGCCTACTTGAAATAGTTGTTAATTAGTTATGCGTCCATATTTGTGTAAAATATACGAAGTATATGTTGGTGATGTCAAGAATTTTAACTGTCTGGGTGATAAAGTTTTAGGAGTATGTGCGATGTTTAAGAATTGAGAATAAGTTTATAGAGTTTATTTGTGAGAAAATTGATTTCTTTATTAAACTATATCAAGTGTTTCTTTGACGAATTAAACTATAACGAGTTGAATAAGTGCCCGTCCAAAAAAAAAAAAAAAAGGAGGGGTTGAATAAGTGAAATAATATTTTACATTACAAAAGTACTTTTTTGGATTAACTAATGAAACTTACAACGTAAATACTACACATCCAACCAAAATTAGCAACATATTTAAAGTAAAGGTATGGTATTCAAGGATTTAAAGCTCTTAATAAAACGTGCTAATAGCTTATTAAAAATGTTAAAATAGCATGTTATATCTTTTATAATAATAATAATAATAAAACTCCCTCGAAAGAAAGGGCCTTCTCTCTAGTGAGTAGGGTTTTGCTACCGTCCCGGCGGTGAATTGCTTGTTTTCCGTTGCGATTTGTTACCATGGCTGATGAGATTGCTGACCGCTATGCGAATTTGAAAATTGATGAGGAGGATGGAGGTGTTGTTGATTTGGGGGTTGTTGATTCACAGCCTTCGATGGACAAATTTCACCTAGTTTTGATTGGTAAATTGATAACAGAGAGACCGTATAACGTCGAAGCGTTTAAATCGACGATGACAAAAGTTTGGGCGTTGAATAACAAATTAGTGATTAGGGTTATTGGCCCTAATCTCTTTGCTTTCCAATTCTTCCATTGGAGAGATAAGGAGAGAATTTTAAAGGAATGCCCATGGTGCTTTGATAATAAATTACTGGTGCTTAAGGAAATTGAAGGGGATGAACAGCCTGAAAAAGTCGCCCTGTTTCACTCACCTTTTTGGGTGAGAATTAAGCACTTACCATTTAACTGCCGTTCTGATGATGACGTTAGAGAATTGGTGTCCAGTTGGGGTGAAGTGGTGGAAATTGAAGAAGACATTCTAGGTTTGGACCGATTTAGGCGTGTTAAATTGTTAATTAATATCACGAGGATTCGGGATAAGAGTGGAAAGGTGGTGTGTGTGGAATTTGCCTATGAAAGGCTTCCTTTTTCTGCTTTGCTTGCGGTGTGATCGGACATGCGGAGAAAGATTGTTGTGTTGTCTCTGAAGAAAGCAAGAAACAGAAATTGGGGTGGGGAAGATGGCTTCGAGAATCTCCAAGAAAACGGAGGACGAAGGAGGTGGAGGAGTTAGAGGCTGTGATGTCAGTGCGTAAACAGTTATTTGTGACTAAGGAGACTGAATTGGAAATAGAAGAGCCGAAAGAGAAGGATGAGGTGCTGATTTTGGGTGAGGCAGGGGAGGGTCAGCCTCAGCTGACTGTTATGGGGGGTATTAGTGGGGGTGAGGGAGGAGAAGGCAAGGCAGGGGAGAGTGGAGAGGAGGCTGCTGGAAGCGAGGTGTTGGAGGGGGCAGTGGGGAATATAGCTACGACAGGGGAGGTAAAGGGGAAGGGGGGCAAAACTTGGAGGAAATTAGTGAGGAAAAAAGATGGCTTTGATGAAGAGATGTATGCTGCTAATTCTGAACTTCTGGGAAAGAAGGGAAGGGAAAGTGCGAATGAGGGGCTAGAGGAGGGATATTTAAATAAAAAGTATGTTACCGATGACAAGTCTTCTGGATGGCGAATGGCGGAGGTTTAAGTATTAATTGCAGAGGGTTGGGCAATACCTCTGCAATTAATAACCTCCGGAACTTAGTGCGGAGGGAGGCCCCGTCTCTGGTATTTCTTATGGAGACGAAGCTGAGTAGTGGGGAAATGATGAAGATTCGTTCGAAATTGGGGGATATGGAAGGTGTTGCAGTTGATAGTTGTGGACGGTCGGGGGTGTAGCTTTATTTTGGGTGAAGGGAATTGATGTGGAATTAAATTCTATGACTGTTCACCATATAGATGTGCTTGTGAAGGGGGGAATTGGCTCTTCAAAGTGGCGGCTTACAGGTTTTTATGGGTTGCTGGAAGTACAAAACAGACATTTGTCTTGGACATTGCTTAGGGAACTTGCGAATAAAGGTGATGAGCCGTGGGTGTGTATAGGGGATTTTAATGAAATTCTTCTTGATTCGGAGAAAAAAGGAGGGAGGGACCGTGCGTTATGGAAAATGGAGAATTTTCAAGTGGCGGTGGATGACTGTAGATTGCCGGATATCCAATTCTCGGGCTATGATTATACTTATGATAATGGCCAATGGGGGGAGGATAATGTTCAATTCCGCCTTGATAGAGCACTTGCGGTGAATGAATGGTTGGAAATATTCCCCGAAGCGAAGGTGATGCATTTGGAGCGTGAGTGGTCTGATCATGCGGCTATAAAGTTGGTAACGAGTGATGATTCGGGCTCTAAGGTGGTGAAGGAAAAATTGTTCAGATTTGAACAATTATGGGCAGAGAGTAATGCTTGCGAGGGGGTTGTTAAAGGAGCCTGGCAGGTAGGGGGTAGCTCGGTGGTGGAGTGCCTTGCGTCATGTGCTGAAAGTTTAAAAATATGGAGTGATAAAGAGTTTGGCACTATTTTTTGTGAGATTAGAAAAAGGAGGAAGAAGTTGAGTTCGCTGAACAGAGGAAAAAGATCAGAGGCGAAGGTCAGAGAGAGAAGGAAGATTGTGCATGAGATTAATGATTTGTTGCACCATGAAGAAGTTTATTGGCGCCAACGATCAAGGTGTTTATGGCTCACTGCGGGAGACAGAAATTCAAGTTTTTTTCACAAAAAAGCGTCTCAACGCAAGCAGAAAAATACAATCAGATATTTGATCACGGAGGACGAGGTCAAGCATACTGATGAAGAGGAGATAAGTGAAGTTGCGGTCAATTATTTTAGGGGGCTGTTTACTTCTTCGCAGCCCACAGAGTTTGATGATGCTCTGGAAGGAATTGATCGTCGAGTTACTGCTGACATGAACGAAGCTCTATGTGCTAATTTTTCTCCGGAGGAAGTGTTAAGGGCCCTTAAACAAATGCATCCTTTAAAGGCCCCTGGCCCCGATGGTATGTGTCCATTATTTTTTCAGACTTATTGGCATATTGTTGGCCCTGCTGTTACAAACCTTGTGCTTGGTGTGTTAGAGAGGAGAAGTGATTCCGAGAGAGATTAATAAAACTTTTATTGTTCTTATCCCAAAAAAGAAAGAACCGGATAAAATGACAGATTTTCGTCCTATTAGCCTATGCAATGTGGTGTATAAATTGATTACTAAAGTGCTAGCTAATAGACTAAAAGTGTGTCTCTCTGATATTACTTCACTTAATCAGAGTGCCTTTACTCCAGGTCGATTGATCTCGGATAATATTCTGGTTGCTTTTGAGGTGTTTCATCATATGAAGTACTCGACTAGTGGTGAAGGGGCATTAGCTTTGAAGTTGGATATGGCGAAGGCGTATGATAGAGTTGTGTGGGATCTTCTTAGGGCGGTAATGTTGAAGCTTGGCTTTGCAGAGATATGGGTTGATCGGGTTATGCACTGTGTTTCTTCAGTGTCTTTTGCGGTCTTGATAAATGGTGCACCTTCGGGGGAGTTCACTCCATCTCGGGGTCTACGGCAAGGTGATCCACTTTCCCTATATTTATTTATTTTATGTGCAGAGGCATTATCAGGTTTATTGAATAAGAGAGTTGAGGATGGAGTCTTACATGGAGTTCGGGTGGCCCCTTCCGCTCCAGCTATTTCTCATTTGCTATTTGCGGACGACAGTATTATTTTTGCAAAAGCTAATGAGGCTGATATTGAGACTATCCGTAAGGTGCTAAACGTTTATGAAGAGGCGTCGGGGCAAATGGTGAACTTTGAGAAAACTACGGTGTCTTTTAGCAAGGGGGTGACAAGTGATAGAAGAATGGAGTTGGCAGGGTTGTTGGGTGTTCAATTGGTGGATATTCATGATAAATATCTTGGTCTTACGACAGTTGTAGGGAGGTCAAAACGTGTTATCACAAAATGGGTTCGAGAGAAGATATGGAAGAGGTTGCAAGGATGGAAAGGGGGAATGCTTTCTAAGGCGGGTCGAGAAGTTTTGATTAAGGCAGTGGCCCAATCTATTCCGACCTACGTGATGAGTGTGTTCAAATTCCCCGCTTCATTTTATGATGAGTTGCGATCGATGGTTTTAAGCTTTTGGTGGGGTCAAAAGAATGGTGAGAGGAAGATTCATTGGTTAGCTTGGAGTAAGTTGTGTGAGCCTAAGGTGAAAGGGGGATTGGATTTTAGAGACTTCAAATATTTTAATGCTGCCCTCTTAGGGAAGCAAGCATGGCGCCCTTAAGTTCCTGGTAGTCTTATTGCGCGAATTTTGAAGGCAAAGTATTATGCCGATGGAGACTATCTTTCTTCGGGGCTAGGCAGCAATCCAAGCTACACGTGGAGGGGTATTTGGGGGGTAAAATGGGTGGTCCAGAGAGGGATGAGATGGAGAGTGGGTGATGGGATCAATATTTCTGTGTGGAATGATCCGTGGATTGCAGGTACTCAAAGTAGGAGAATAATTTCCCCCTGTGGAAATTCGAATAGGAGTATGAAGGTTTGTGATCTCATCCATCTTCCAACTGCCTCATGGAATGTTACCAAGATTCGTGAGCTGTTTTTACCTTTTGAGTGGGAAAGGATCCTAAGTATGCCTCTCAGCTTTCGCTTACCTGAAGATTCACTTTGTTGGGACTTGGAGAAGAGTGGGGAGTATTCGGTTCGTTCGGCATATAGAGCAATTTTTGGGGAGGTAGATGATGATAGTGGTGCTTCTTCGTCTTTGGTGTCGGGTTTTTGGAATAAAGTCTGGAATGCGAACACCCTCCCAAAAATAAAAGTATTTTTTTGGAGGGCTAGCCGTGAAGCTCTTCCAACGACGGGGGGTTTGAGTAAGAGATTGAAGAATAGAGAGTCGGTGTACAGTGTTTGTGATGCGGAGGTGGAAACGGTGATGCACTGCATCAAAGACTGTGTTATTGCCAAGCTGATATGGGGGGTAAGTTCAATTTGGGAGGCGATTGATGGAAGGTATGGCAGCTTTGGGGATATGGCTCTAGCGTGCTTTGAGCGTCTCCCGCAAAGAGAGCACAGACTCTTTATTTCGACTTGTTGGGCTATTTGGACGGCGAGGAACAAGTGGATTTTTGAAGGGGAGCCTTGTGATCCTGGGAAAGCCGTGGAATATGTGATGAAATTGATGCAAGAATTGGCCAAAGATGATGAGGGGATAAGGGTGGGAGGTGGAGCTGGAGCCGTAAAGTGGAAACCCCCTGATGTGGGGGTGTGCAAGCTGAACGTGGACGAGGGTGTGTTGGAAGGGAGGGGTGCTTCACTTGGAGCTGTGATTAGAGATGATGGTGGCAGGTGAAGTTTGCGGCATCCTGGCGTGGGGATGAGTGTTGGCCAAGGCTATTCTTTGGGGACTCCAACTGGCTGTGGAGTTCGGCTTTCGCAAGGTGCAAGTGGAAAGTGACTGTCAAGGGTTAGTGACCGCAATTCGTGAGCAAGAAAGGGGAGATAGCTGTCTTCATTTAATATTAGATGATATCTATCATGTTTGTAATTCTGTTGAGTCTGTTTCTTGGAGTTTTATTCGTAGGGGTGGGAATAAAGTCGCTCATGAGCTTTCTCATAGCAACATGGGGGTGTTGGGTAGACAAGTTTGGCTTTCAAACTTTCCGAGTTGTATCACCTCTTTGGTGAACACTGATTCCCCTACTAATGATATTTAAGTAGCCTTTGGGTTGTTTTTTTTTTTTTTAAAAAAAGAAAATAAAAATAATAATAATAATAATAATAATAATAATAATGTATTCAATATCTATTTGTTTTTAAAATGTCAAGAGACGTATATTATTCGGGTATAAAAATTGTTTCCCTTAAAAAAAAAATCATCCAATAAGAATTACATACACTTTAACTGAAGACGGACAATACAAAGATTAATTCGCAATCTAATTATGGTAATTGTCAGAGTTCTTCCCATGTTCCAGATTTCCAACTATTTCCTTCTGTTTCGGGTGAAAACAATGGGACCTTGTCGAAGGTCCGATGAAGAGGAGAAGACTGGATTCGGTCCAAGTGATGTTGGGCCGAAGGTTTCCTGCACA